GATGGTATATGTCTATCTCTTAGGGATAACCCACAATAACCATTTTTTATCCTTTACTTTTTACGAGAAATAATGGCTTATTTACGAAGCGATTTTAAGCAATACAGCATTAATCGTTATCCAATTAAGTACTTTTAAATACATTGTGCATTTAATATTGGCCCTTTACCTCATGTAATTTAAATAAATATTTTCGATGATATTACTGACTTAAAATGCAAGGACGTAGCGGTTGCGGCGGTACCGGCCGGGAGGCCGGTTTCTATTGTCTAATGACAAAAAAACTGTGAATGTTGTATATAAAGACATTCTGTAGTATATTTAGTATGTTCAGGGGGTATCTTTTAAACAAAACATATTTAGTATCAGCATTGCACCCGTGCGAAGCTGGGGCGGGTCACTAGTTTTGCATAAAAAAGGGAAGATTTGGATGATAATTACTTGGCAATAAATTTTATTCATTACAAAAAATGTTCGGCTTCATTAACGCATAAAGTGTGACTCATACTGGTGTAACGTATAACTTGTGATTAGATTAGAGAGTATCTGTCTCAGGAAATGTACACTTCAGATGAGAACGATGTACGTACCTAATGATTAAATAATATTTACATTTTTCCTTTTTTTAAATTTCTAGTAATTTTTGCTTAGATGGTTTACTCTCAGTGATACGGAACCAATTGATAAGCTCTATTGACAATACACTACTTATTAATGAGTTTAAATTATGTAATCGTTTTGTGGAAATTAAAAAAAAATGTAATTTTACTACTCCGTTGTATTCACACTAAAGTAGCAATGAGGTGAAAGAGATAGGGGGGCAGATAGTGGAGATAAAAAACTAAAAAATAAAAAGAAATTAGGGTGATTTGGGGTACAAGTTGATTTCTTCTTCCATATCTTGTCTTTAACCCTCGACACTCTAATAAATCCATTTTTTTATTAGTGGAGCATTCCCCTCACTCCTCTTTTACACAATTACTATTTATCTCATTATTAATTTTCACTTTTACCCGTCGTGCATTCACATTTTCGCTTCAACTAGAAAACTTAATTAGTGTTCTATCGTAGGCTGGTATGCAAAACAATTATCGAATATAATGGACTATACTTTATTAATCAAGGAAACTAATTCACACTATAAACTAACTAAAAAACGTAGAATGAAAATCAAATGAAATTTTTATAGTTCCGCCCAAATTCAGACAAAACTTCCGCTTAAAAATACGCTAAAGGTAATTTTGTGTGTGAATAGCCTCGTTCTTTTCTTAAACTATTTACAAGAAATTAGGTACATTATACAAACGTTCTGTTAAAATGAATGTCATGTAGCATTATAAAAACAAATTAGCCAGTTTTATGATAAATTAATCTCAAAATTACGGTAATGATAGGCATAACTATTACGGTGTTTTTCTAATTTCTTAGCATTATCACGTAACATTAACATAGAAAGTTTTAATGAAGTCAGGGAAATAAAAAAATCTATTTTTTCTTACTGTTTCAACTTTAGGAATATCCCTTGAACTTTATTCAGAATTTTATATTTCGTTTTTTATTATTCTGTACGACAAGCAGTAACTGATAAAAGTTAATGATATTTGACGACTTTTTTTGTGGTAAAGGAAAGGTGTTTGAACTGATTGCATTGTAGTGGTATTGAAAAAGAAAGATTATAAATACATCAAAGGTCAATTTTCTTTGTATAAAATGCTCAAAATCAGTTGACTTTTATTTCAAACTGCTAAAACTTGAATAGTATATTCAACTAAGTAGATGTTTTAATAAATTTATATGTATTTCGAAAACTAAACTGTCACAGTTATATGGGGCGGCAATAATCTCACATGGTTGTATCGTCAACAACGTAGCTATATTTTTAACACCATAACGTCAACTACACAAAAAAAACCTAGCTTGTCAAGTACATATTTAAATCTATTAGGTTTTACCCGCGGTTTCGCTCGCGTTGATGTCTTAAATTCGTGTCAAATTTCATCATCATCATCATCATAATAAGGTCGTCATTCCTAAGACTGGTTCGATACGTACCTCCACGCTTTCCTACCCTGAGCTAATCTTCGCATTTCCCTAAAACTAGAACAACCCATATCCTTAACTATTTGCGAACAGTAATCTAACCTAGGTTTACCTCTACCCTTCCTAACTCCTGTATCTGTCTCTAATACCTATGTCTCTGACTAGACCTTCATGTTACGTGATAATGCTAAGAAATTAGAAAAACACCGTAATAATAATGCACTATCATTACTGAAATTTTGTGATCAATTTATCATAAAACTAATGTCTCTATTTCTCGGGAACAAAATTTTTTTCTGGATAAAGGGTACCCTATGTGCTTCTTTGTACTCCTAACAATTGTGTACAAAATTTCTTGATGATCAGTTGAGTAGTCAAGACGTGCATACTTCGTAATATGAACCTTTATTAATCTCGCTAACTAAAAATGGAGTTACATTTACAAATAAAATATTTGGAACTCGGTTCAGGTGAAGGTATTAAAACATTAGAAATTACTACCTACTTACCTGATAATGCTGCAATCACTTGTGGTGCCTTTTCAGCTTTAGTCCACTCATTTTCAGCTAGATTATTTTTAGTTGACATGACAAATAACTGCTTAAAACTACAATTTTTTTCCAACTGTTGTGCTACGTCAGACAACCTTACGTATTTTTTTTTTAACTGCTTTTAGTTATCAGTTTTCAATTTGCATACATCGGGAACATTTTGTTCAGCTTTTTAAAAACAAAAATGCTGATAAAATGCTTGTACCTACTTGTAAAATTCATTTAACATATTTTCGAAACAAATTAAGTAATCCTTCTTGTTTGAAAACAGTTTAAATCGTTATCTATCGAAAAATTCGTCAGAATAAATGATACTTTTGTGAAACCTACCGAGTGTTTTCTTTTCGATATTAAGTTATATTTTAAAATATGATTAATGATCGCATTATCAACAACATTGAATTTAGCAGTACAAAAAAATCAGTGTCTCACAAAAATGGGACACTGCGAAACTGAACTAAAAAATGGACTGAGTACAAAGTTCTATGTATCTACAATGGTACCTGGTATTTGGACTTGGAATGGGACGTTGTACCAAATCAGATATTCCCAAAAAAAAAAA